ACTTACATTGATAATGTATGTGAAGTGATATGAATACGAACACACTACATAAATAATCATAAAGAGCTAAGTGTTTATAATGATTCGTTGATCATAGGGCACTCTCCAGCAGGGTCTGTGCTGCTTGGGCAACTACAAAAGATGCAGCATTCACATTTGCAATTGATGCACTAACTGCAGGGGGGTCATAAAAGACATTTTTGTTACAGAATATTGCCATTTAGGTTCTGGGGAAATGTAATAACCAGTGCTGGATTTAGGGCAATGTGAGCAGTTCCTCCTGTGCAAGACACCAAGCTGAGCAGCCACAAAATACAAATACTGCTACTAATAAAACCCAGGGTGTTTTTTCCCCCAGCCAGAATTTGCCAGAACTCAGTTCTGGCACCTCTCAGGTGGGTGCTATTTCCATTCTAAGAGAACAAAGGAGGTGTTCATGGTGAGTTCCGACACCTCTTTTTCTAGACAAAGACCACTGATAAAAGCTATATTTATACAGGTACCTACTGAGAAGATCCGTTAAAAATAACAGCTGTACCAAAAGGGATCATTGTGAAAATAGGAAATATTTAGGGGTGTGTGTGCGCCAAATTTTGCCCTCGCTCAGGGCACCATATTACCAAAGTCCGTCCCTGGTAGTGTGATCCTCTGCAACAAATGAGTGACAGCCTTGCACTTAAGTTTGCTAACTAAATTGACTAAAGGGAAAAAATGGAATGGCCCTTGAGAGATTAGAATGAATTGCATTTGAGCTCCTGATACATATAGGGCTCTCTACTAAGGTGAGGAAGTGTCACACTAACTGCTTACCGTGAAAAGTGGCAGCCCAGTGGAAGCTGATGCCACATTAATGGTTATCAAAGAGAGAGGGCTCCAAAACAAGGGATTGTAAGCTAGTCTTTCTGAGCTGCAAAACTGATTTAACCACCAGGAAGTAGGAAACATGAAAATGTGTCCAACATTAATTTCATTACTGAAAAGTACCAATAGACAAATGCTCAGTACTTCTTGATAAATAAACCAAATGGGATCCAGATACCTGAGGATCCAGTGAAATTGCCAAACCACCAAATTAGTTGCATGGGCAGGAGCAGCAGGAAGTTGCTCCATTTACTTTAAATATTCCCATCAGCATATTGCCTTACAAGAATAAATTTCTTGTGGGCAGATTTCTAACCCGATACTATAGGGTCAGATGCATTTTGAACGCTATTTAATTTGCCTAGAGTCCAGAGAGTTCTTGCTTACTGGTTTATTACGCACTATTATTGTGCCACCAAGACGCTTTTTTCTGGTTTTGAGCCAAAGTGGCTTTTCCAGAAGCTTCCTAGCAGGATTGGCTCTGGCGGTGCAAGTACACAGTCCTGACCTCTCTGCCACTTTGGGCTTTCCCCTCTCCGTCCTAGTAAGTGGCAGCAACACAGCTGCCAGGATGCTAACATTGCAGCTCCACCCCACCAGATAAGCTGCTTCTGATTTTGTAAGGTCTGCTGTTACCAGATCTGCCCATGTGAACCCCTATCTCTTTACTAGAGACCATTGCATGCTGCAGAGAGTATTTTCTTGCTGAGCTTACTAACCTTCCAGAATAGTTTTGAACTCCTCACATCATTACAGGGCAGCAAAATGACTCCAACTAGAATGTATGAGCAAACAGCTAGTCACGGGCACTCACTATGATGCACAGAATTGGAAGGCTAGTTTGGAACTGTTATCCAAAAATGTGGCCATTTAAAGCACCCACACTAGGATGTCTTGTGCACTGACCTGCTCTTCAAGAGATGATGTTGAATAATCGCAGCAAATTGAAAGCAGCTGCTTGTGCACACAGTGTCATTGCAGACATTTTCATACACATCTTTCCCCCATCTTTTACGCTAAGAGGGCAAAACATGCGTAGTGAACAGCTGCACAGAACAGGCACTTGGTCATCAAAGTCTACTTCTGTGCATGATTTTGTGATTATATTATGTATGTATGTATGTATGTATGTATGTATATAGTCATTTCAAGGGACTACCATATACTTGGAGATTATGGTTTGGATCTTAATGTAACTTAAGGAAGCTCACAGAAAAGAAGCTTCAGGCCTCCTCCTCCCCCTGCACCCAAAGCCTGAGATTTATTCCCTTTGTTTCCAATGTGTGTGTGGGGGGACATGTGCTAGTCATAAGGCTGGCTTTGGTAGCATGTTGGGGGCCTGGGAGAACAATGAGTATGAAGGATCCATTTGTTCCCAGGATCTGCCACTGGTATGCTCCTTTTTGCCTTTACTAACATTGGAGCACTGAGATCAGTAAGGTAAGGGCTGCAGAGGTTTCCACAGCAACAGGGAGGGAGTTCACAAAGTTGGGTCTCAGTCTCTGAATCATCCCAGGGATGATAGGATTGCAGCCTTAAGGAAGACCACAGAAAGAAAGTTCCATAATCCATTCTCTCCTCAGCAATCCTCAGACACCCCACATTATTCAAGAGGGCCCCATCCCTGCCATTCAGGCTTGGAGGGGGTGCATGGATAGATGTTGGGGGTGGGGAAACTTTGCTTCCATGACCTTTCTTATCCTATGTGATATATCCCTGAGCCTTTGACACTCAACACTCATTATTTGGGAGAGAGTTCCCTTTCAGAAATTAAAATCTGATCTCTGTTTCCTCCCCTGCCCCCCATCTTTTTTCTTAGATTTTACATGGGAAATTAAACATCAACATCATCATTTAGTATTCCCTGAATCCTTCAACTCCCCTCTGTCCTTCCATGGTTACAATTGTCAATCTTTTTTCAATTGCTTCTCTTATTTTTTTCCTTATTACAAGCATTACTCAAATCCTGCCAAAGTTGTTAGTTGTTTACGGTACATTATAAATTTTTCCCATTCCTTCTTGAAGTTCTCCTCTTCCTGGTTTCTGATTTTCCTAGTCAGTTTTGCCATTTCAGCATAGTCCATCATCTTCATCAACCATTCATCTCTGTTTGGGACTTTGTCTTCTTTCCATCTCTGGGCCAGTAGCATCCGCACTACAGTCATTGGATACATAAATAATTGTTTCTGCTCATTTGGTATCTTTGCACCTAAAATTCTGAATAAAAAAGCCTCTGTTTTTTTTACAAATGTTATTTTAAACATTTTCCCCCAACTCATTATAAATCATTTCCCAGAATGCTTTTGTTATCTTGCACGTCCATCACATGTGGTAGAATGTGCATCTGATCTTTGTTTCCTAATGCTAGAAGTGTATGACTTGACCTAAATATTTTGATTCTCTCATAAAGCCTGCTAGTCATAGAGGTAATGCTGTACACAAATGTATACTACTGATGTCTCTCCTTTTCTATGAATGCCGCAGAAATTGACAGGAAATTGAACACTGCATTCAGAATCTGATGTCATACTTCGAAAAGGAATTACAAAATTTTCAAGTTTCACACTGGGGAAAACTGGTCCCCCCCACCCCAGCCATTTCCTAGCCTCAAAAGGGTGTATTATACATTATAAGCATTAACTCTTGCAGACTCAGAACCAGCTAGTTTAATCTAGGGAGCATTAAGACAGCACATGACCCAAAGCCCAACAGGTGGCAAGAGTTAGCCTCTAACAGTTGTTTGATGATCTAATGTCAAACTCATTGGCTGCATTATCCCACATCCTGAGAGCAAACAGGTGACCACATCTCCCAAACCACAACTGGTTAGCAATTTCAAAGAGAGAAGTCATGAAACTGACTGACTAACAGGATACGGTACTTGGCCTACCCTGTACGGACAATCCCCGATAGATTGATGCCATGACACTCTTGCAGGGAATGTACAGAAGAGTGAAATCTTGCTCCTTGAGCACTGAGCAGTGAAGACTTCCATCTCACGCATGTGGCTGCATTTAATCAAACATCTTTCACCAGCACCACATTTATGAGGTTTAAACAAAAGCACCGGGGCTCCTTAGTTGGTTATTGGTCCTGCATAGCTAAGATGGTTAGGCGCCAGAAAGATATGGGAGGCAACTCCCAAGAGATGCAGAATCTCAGCACATGGTGTTTACCTTCATTTCCAGGCACTTAATATACACTTGATGTGCCTTTGAATTGCTTGTCATCAGGTTGTCTTTTGCATTTGGATTCCCCTGCCCTCTTTTTAGTCCCTGGATTTAGTCTATGTAAAACAAGGCGTTCTTCCCCCTAATTAAAACCTGTGATGCAATTCTGAGTGGCAAGTGAGTTTTAAATTATTTATAAAACAAGGCAGATCTTAAAAGGGACATTGTTAGGAAACTGTATGGTAATATACGTTACTTCTGGAAATATCCGTTGCTGGATGGAAACATGAAAGATCAAGGACTTCAGCTAATGCTTGTTGTCTGCCGTCTAAAGTCTGTAAAGCTGCTGGGATTCCACTGGTACCAACGCCTAAGGACTCTACTAATATTTTTGTTAACCAGGGGTAATGGTGGCAAAGTCACCTTTTATTAGGTTTTTGGATTGGGGAAAGTGGAGCTATGGCTCACTTCTGAACACGGAGCTGCTTTTGGTCTTTTGGGTTTGGCTTTTGCTGCACATGGGACTCTTGAGTCCGCTAAGATCCTGATTGCATTACCTGGGTAGCCTGGCTATTCTTTTGTGATGGTTAATACTTTAGTTCCTGAATTCAGGTCACAGGCTCACCCTATTCATACACAAATGTGCCCTGAAGTCAGGATTTGTAAGCAAAAAGAAGGATTTTGCCATTTGCCTCCCTTACTGCAGAGGAATATTTGAAGTCATTGAAAGAGTCAAAATGGCTTCAGGATTGCTTTCCTGTACTATTTCAAACACATGGTTTATATATTTAGATGTGTGTGCATTTATGAATATTTATTCTATATTTGAGACCTCAGAATTCTTATAACAGCAGAAACATCTTTACTTGGATCTGTCTTGATATTATCATCATTTCCGGGGTTGGGGGTTGGGCGGGGAGATGGAGACGCCATATAAATGAATGACATCCCTTGGACACAATGGACTCTGTTACTGTTTCGCTTTATTATAGAATTTCATTTTGAAGTTGCTTCCTTTCTCTTCCAGCTTGTTTCTTTATGTCTCCTGAGCTTCAAGCTCTGTGTGAAAGTCTGGGGAAAAGAAAATGACAAATCAATAGGAGGTGTGCTCATTTCAGACCATTAGCGGAAAGTGGCAAATAATTATGCTTTGAGTTTTCCCTTCTATTGACAGTACATAAAAGAGCTTGCAAAGGGAGATTCTCTTCTGTCGCCTGCTCTTTGAGCTCTTCTGGTGCTTATCTGCAGAGCTCCCTATGACATGATGCTAGAACCTCTGTTCCTTTTTTGCAGTCCAAGTACAATACAAGGGGTGGCCTTCCGGGCCATTCAAGGACCACTTTGAGAAAGCATTTGTAGAAATGACTGCTGCAGGAAGTGTTATACTCTCATTCATATGCCCCAGGCAACCAAATCAAAGTCATAAGACTTACTTGTCTGCAAAGAACCACAGTGGATAGATTCCCGCTAAAAACTTTGTTGTTTTGGCAAGCCTATCCAAGCATGGGCTTTTATTGTGCTTACTGATTTTTAAATTCTGTTGATTTTATCAGTATTTTTTAAAAAATCATTTCACTATATACACATTGCTTTTAAACTTTGTTGATTGTATCACTGTGTGTATCAGAGCATGGATAGCTTAGTTGGTTAGAGTGTGGTGCTGATAATGCCCAGACTGCAGGTTCAATCCTTGTATGGGACAGCTGCATATTCCTGCATTGCAGAGGGTTGGACTAGATGATCCTCAGGGTCCCTTCCAACTCCACAATTCAATGATTCCATATTTATTTCTGGCTTCAAGTAAGATTAGAAAGAGAGAGAGACACAGTATTGCAATAAGTTGCACAGGAGATCCAGAGGTCTAACTCAGGCATAGGCAAACTTGGCCCTCCAGATGTTTTGGGACTACAACTCCCATCATCCTTAGCTAATAGGACCAGTGGTCAGGGATGATGGGAACTGTAGCCCCAAAACATCTGGAGGGCCGAGTTTGCCTATGCCTGGTCTAACAGAAGTTAAGCTAGGTTTGAGCTAGCAGATGATATTTATGAAGGCTGACACCCTTTCTTCAAATCACTGATCCCTTGTTTTATGTAATTGCCGTATGCTGTAGGTTATGATTTGCAGTGTGGCAAATTATAATGGTGACATTGTTATGGCCTTTGGCCAATAAACCTTTGATTGGTTGGGGTCTGTATTTTTCAAGAAAAGATTTTGCATGGTGTTATGTTAGAGACGTTTCATAGCAGTCTATAAAAGTTCTTAAATAAATAACATTTAAAATGTGCTTTATAAGAAAGCAAAAGAGAGAAGTTGGCATCTCTGGTAGAAGAAACATTTGGTATGTTTACTCTAGAGTGGAGTTAATACTGACAACATTTCGGGTGGCAGAAGGTTATTACCAATAAAAGAAGACTGAATATTGCAAGACAGTTCCAGCAGCCTAGCCTGGGTGTCCTATCTAGGATGGGGGGAGATTTTCTGTACCTCAGAACGCATCCCTAAATGCAACAATCTTACTCCAACCCATAGAGTTCAGAGCTGATAGCCATTAAGATCTGAGATGGCATTGCTGCTACCCTAATGCTAGTGCAGCAAGACAAAGAAAGTGTTGTGTGGCTTGTTGTTATTATTTTGTATACATGGTTCAACTGAAGCTTGTTGAACATGAGGAGGGCCTGACGGCGAATTCCAGTCCACATGTCACATAGTTCTCGTAAGGATACTCCGCATGTGCGCTGAAGACAAGAGAAAAATAAGCAGCCAGATCAGATGCAATGTGCAAGCTGGCTTGGCCACTATTTCACAAGAGCACTAGGAGGTGCCCTGCTGTTTTCTTCTGCAGAGCATATGCGATAGGATCTGCCCACCAATCTTCAGAAGGAAGGTTCCACTTAAGATCACTCACTCCATGCTTTTTTACTTGGGGTTTCCACTGGGGCTACTCCTATAAGAAGGCAATTCTTAGTGAGAAGAAAGACGGCTTTTGCTGAGCCAGTTTCACCCTATGCTCCTCATGCCTGGGGGGGAAGATCTCAGCAGTGGCTGCTGTGTGCTTTTCAATCCCAAGCCAAAACTTATGACCCCCAGCTTTGCTTTGTCTGATTTCCGTCTTGTCACTTCTCCTGCTTTATTACTTCTGCTGTGTTTTTATTCATTTCTCTTATTTTACAAGCAGGTCCCTGAAATGCTTTCTCTGGCTATGTCCTTCCTGCAGTCCTGAAGAATCAGTTACCAAAATCCCAACTGGACTTCCTGCCAAATTGCTCTAAGTAGCAAAAAGCTGCTCCTTCCCCCACTTTTTCTTCTTCTTCTTCTTCCCCCGCTTCATGTGCCTTGTAGGCATCTCTGCTTTTCCTCCCTTTCCACAGATGTTTTGCATTACTGCATAGTCGCATACAGGAAAGCAGGGGACTGTGGAATATTTTGCTAGATTAAGTAATGCAGGTCAGACCTGAATTTGTGTAGGAGACAGATAAACTTATAAAAGACTTGCTTGTTGAAGTCTTGATTTTGTGGGCTTCAAAGCAGCTGCGGGCTGATTTTTTTAAAAATGGAGGATGAAGGCTGACGGCTGACATTTGGACGAGCAGCAAAGCTAAGACTTTGCTGCCCTTATTCTCCTTCACCCACACTAATTCAGAAGGGCTCCAGGCCTCTTCATGCATTGAGAGTTGCCAACCATTCAGAAAAAAGACTCAGCCTAAAGTTTTCTTTTTAATCTCCGGGTCCAGGGATACAGACAGATAGAGAGAAAGAGAGGCAAAAATGTTCCTCTTTAATCAGGCCTTTGGCTGATTGGCTTTTAAATATGTTGGAGGAAGTGGGGAGGGGGGATTATTGGTTTGTTGTGAGCTGCCCTGAAATCTGCAGATGAAGGGCAGTATACAAATTTGTTCCTTAGCCACAGTCATAGTTCATAGCTCAAAGGACTGTAACAGGATAAGGAGGTCAGCATTTCAAACTCTTGCAAGGATGCATGCTACCAATTGTCTGCTTCTGTTACTACCGGTAGTGTTCTGCTGAAGTGCGAACGATGCGCGGGAAGTGGGAAGCCTTGAGGAAAGGGTTAATGATCCCTTGCCACAGCACCACTACTGCAATCACATTTGCAACTCTCCAAAGCAGCAATTTACAATGAAGGAAACGCCAGCAGATCAGTCATGGATGTCTACTGATGCCATGTGCAGTTGGCGTCTCGGTATGCAGAAGCTGGCCTTACCAGGGTTGTTTGTGATAGACAGCAGGGAGAGTGCAGTTTCCCCTTCAGGGCTGGTCTAGACTGGCAAAAGTCCAAGGCAGTGTGATGCAAGTCACTTCTGTCAATATACAACATTCCAGTATATGCTTTGTGTTATTCCGAGACAGTAGTTCAGCATTTTCACTCAGCGTTTTACGTTTACGTAGGGGACCAGAAGTGTGTCCCTGGGCTCAGAAAGGTGACTGAAGTGAAGGCCACTTAAGAACCTGTGCATTCCCTGCTTTACAACATGCAATTCACAAAAAAACCAATGTCCATGATGTCCTGCCCCAGCATGCCACTGGGAGGAGGCATACCAAAATATCTCCAGAAGGCTGCCGTGTCCATTAAAGTGTTAAAAATGAGGATATATAGCAGGCAAAAATCTCCGTTTCAGACTTTTCATGAACATATATAATCTAAATAAGAAGCAATCCTCCCTTCAAAGGTTTCAGGATATTTATTTTTAGGAATTCCAGAGCGTTCATAAATTGAGCTCTTTGTCTGAGCCCCTCAGAGGAATACATTACCTTATTGAGAAATAATGTCTGGGGGTTCATTTCACAGGGCTTACCTCTGGACTCCGTGATGGAGAAACAGCAGATTTCAATTCCCATGCCCCTTCTCTGGTGCAACTTGTACTGTAGCTGTAAAGCAACCTCCAATCACAGCAACCTGGAAAGAGGTGAAGGAAAGAATGAGCATTTAAGCCAAGAAAAGGAAATGGAAAAAATTTATGTAGATAAGATCTCCCACCTTTTTGTAAAACATAATGGCATGAACTTACAAGTTCAAAAAAATAATATCTAGCATGGGATGGCGCCCCACAATAACCCTACATCCCAACTCTTATCTGTAGGATAATCTGCACTTAGGTCTATTTGTCTATGCTCCTCATAGGTTTTGAGCTTAGCGGGTGTGCCTTGGCTGTTGGATATATCCTCACTGGGTTCAGTTTCATTATGTCAACCCTCACACTTCCATATTTATTTATTTATAGCAGGAGTAGCCAACTGCTACCCTCCAGAGGTTGTTGGACTCCCATCATTCCTAAGCACTGGCCATGCTGGATGAAGCTGATGGGAGATGGAGTCTAATAACCTCAGGAGGGCACCACATTGGCTACCACTGATTTCATTGCTTTTGTAAATTACTTTTTAATATTCATTAACAAAGTGTTTTATAATACAACAATTAATGGGGGGTGGGGGGGACCAATCTGTTGAAATACATAAAACAGCCCAACAGCAGCAGGATTATCTTCAAATCTTAAGACAGCAATTTTTATCAGCACTACAGGTTGTTAGTCAATGGTGGGAAGACAGGGATCCATCTTTCCTGCAATGTGCGAAGAGGGCAGTAGAGCAACCAGGAACAGGTTTTGGTGCTCGTTATCCTATGCAAATTCCCAAGTGTTGACAAGAGGCGCAATAATTTTCTAAATCTGACCAAGGTCTATAGAAATGTGCTCGTTATGGGATCAACCTCTGGAAGATCACTCTAGAAAGTATGTAGCAGATCGCCTCAGAAACCATCAGGCAGTACAGAGAAGAGACCCTTTTATATTACTGAGCAGGTCTCCTAGCCATCCCTTCCACTCAGAGCTGGCCCACCCATGAGGCAACTATCTCAGGTAGCAGGGTCCTCAGGGGCAGGTGATGTTATTCTCTCCCCCCCCCCCGTTCCTGATGTAGATCTTCTCTTACCCTTCTTCCCTAGTATGGAGGGACCCCATTTTGGGGTCTGCCTCAGGTGCCAAAATATCTTGGGCCAGCCCTGCTTCCAATACAATATGGTTCTAATCTGCAACATCTGCTACTACTCTTGTCTAGTATGATTAGACTGAAAAGAAGACAGGGTGCCAGTTCCTTTAATAATTGTGCATAACAAGGATTTGTTGGGTTGCTTGCAAGTGGAGCTTGTTATGTGAGGATGAGAAGCCACACTCAGTGAAATTATCTCTCTAAACTAGGTCCTATAACAAATTACCTGGGAGTAAGTCCCAGTGAACGGAGAGGGACTTACTTCTGAGTCGATATGTATTGGATTGGACTGCCTGCTTATGTATTAAAATACACATTAAAATATTCTCTAAATTCATATTTTGAAGGGAATTATCATCACAGAAATGGAAAAGAATTATGAGTAAAAAAATGTGAAAACAACACAGATCGGAAATTGAGAGATTCATAATGATAGTTCACAGCTCTACACATTAATCCTGCTCACTCTGAATAAAAATTGCCACAAAATGTCACTAAAAATTAAATGCTGGGGCAAATGTGGAGGTTCCTCCTCAAACTAAATGTCTAAGGAATTTACAGGAAAGCAAAAAGTTTTCAGGAATGACTAATGACATTTCTCATGGGGTATCATAACATTTGCCACGGCGTTTCACCTAAAGTGAAAATTTGAGATAAATTTTGCAGTTCCTGCTCAGGAGAAACATCCAATGGTTTATTTATCTTTTGCAAAACAAAAGAAGTTTAGATAAAACTGCAGAAATTTCTCAGGGGGTGTTACATGCACATCCTTATTCTGACATTTTGTATACTGATGATGCAATTAATTAAAGGAGGCACAAGGTCTAAGTGTTGAAAGTCTGCCAAAACCCTTCATTTGCAAATTAAAGAGTTTCTGTATATAGACCTCCAGAGGAGAATTGCTATTGGACTAACCTTTTGTGCAGCCAAATCCAAGGGGGGAAATGGCCTCTTCTTGTTCCATCTCTCTAGGCTGCTTATATAGTTGACAAAGTGGCAAATGGTTTAGACACAGAGTTCTCTCACCTGAATCCCTCCTGTGGTGCTCTCTGTTTTAACAGCATTTCAGGCAATGGCTGAAAAGGTGTCAGTCAGCTTAGCTCCTATATGAAAATCTATATTGGCCATTCACCTCTGGACTAGTAGATCCAACTCATTGTAAAGGTCTTGAGTACTACAACTGTGCTGACACCAGGACCATTCACATTAATAATATTTCCAAATGGGCCCCAAATCTGGCAACACCTAGCCATTATTAAAAGTCTCTGGACTGAGCAACTACAAGGTGTGAACTTGTGAATTCCAGCTTGATTGTAGGAAAGGGGGCAAGGTCAACAACAGGCTTGTGAAGAGGAAGGTGGGTGAGTAGCTGCATTTCCAAGACGGCAGAAACCTCTAGTCAGCCATGTTTATGATATATATGCAGTATAATTACCTCAGAACCAGGATTAAGACACTCTCCTGTTATATCATGAGGAACCTTAAAGTGGTCCCACCACCTCCAAGTTCTAATATTCTCCTGAAAATTAGTGATATTGAGGTCAGAGCCAGACTGCAAAAAAGAACCCTAAAAACAGGAGTAGATGCATGGTGACTGGACAGAAGAAATTGCAGAGTAGAGTCTAAAGAGCATCTAGGTCCCATTTCACATCAGAATTCATGTCACACAGCTGCATGAGTAATAGCTTGGGAAGACTATTCATATTAATCTGTATTTTACCCCATGCACCTCTATCAGAATTTACCCATTACCACCTGCAGACAAGGTTAAATATTAAATATATTTTCCTTCACCTCTAAGGACACATAAGACCATAATTGTTGTCTTGCTGAATCTCACTAGGATCCACCTAACTCAGCATTCTGTTTTCATTCCAACACTGCCAAACCATATGCTTTCATACACTCACAGTCGGGACATGGAGGTGATGACCACTGAGTGGTGAGATGTTGTTTTCAATGAGTTATTGTCCAGAACCCAATATATTTTTCTTGGGTAGACAAAGAAAGTTTAGACTCAATTAGTGTGTGTATGTTTTTATTTTTTATTTTAATCCCAAATGCATTACTCTTTTACTGCATTACATCTACTCTTACGCCCGGTTTGTAGATATCTATTTGCAGCTCTTTACAGTCTGCTTGAGATTTCTGCAAAGTAAATAACACGGCTATTGGTTCACTCACTTCCTTCCTTCCATTAAGAAAACTGTCTAGTTATCCCCACTTTCTGTTTCCTGATTTTTATCAGTTACTCATCCTTAAGAGGACTTCTTATCTGGATTACTACTATTTATACATAACCAGCTGATATTTACCTATTGGCAAGAAGAAGAGTTTGGACTTGATATCCCGCTTTATCACTACCCAAAGGAGTCTCAAAGCGGCTAACAATCTCCTTTCCCTTCCTCCCCCACAACAAACACTCTGTGAGGTGAGTGGGGCTGAGAGACTTCAGAGAAGTGTTACTAGCCCAAGGTCACCCAGCAGCTGCATGTGGAGGAGCGGAGACACGAACCCGGTTCACCAGATTACGAGTCTACCACTCTTAACCACTACACCACACTGGCAAAAGGAACATGAAATCATTAGTAAGGCGGCTTTGCTGTTCTGAAGGCTAGTACAATATAATATTATTAAACTGGTTTTAACATGGCTATTGCCATCTAGTAGAGTCTCCCCATCTGACATGGCCGATTAGGGGGCAAAACATGCAGTATAGGTTTTATAGCACTAAAGGATATTGAATTAAGTAATACTATCTGAAAGAGAATTTGCTTATTTCCATGCATTGAGACATGACCTTGCACACCTAAACATATATTTCTGCTTATAACAAAAGAATTCTACCTGCGGTCAATCAAATCATAATGTGGCACAAGCAGATAGCGGATAGCTAAGCTATGGCACTCACTCCCACAGGAGGCAGTGACGGCCACAAACCTGGATAGCTTTAAAAGGGGATTGGACAATTTCGTGGAGAACTGGGCTATCAATGACTACTAGCCATGATGGCGGGGCTCTCCCTCCACAGTTGGAGGAGGTAATGCTTCTGCATATTAGTTGCTGGAAGCCACAGTAGCTATTGTGCTTGGGTCCTGTTTGTGGGTTTCCTACAGGCATCTGGTTGGTCACTGTTGAAGAAGGTTGCTAGATAATATGGGTTACTGGCTTGATCCAGCAGATTCTTCTTATGTTCTTATGGTATGGGTTTCAGTTTCCTCAATGCCAGAGGTAGCTGAGGTAAAAAGAGCAAGTCTAATAGGATATATACACCAATCTCAAGAACAATGAACTTTTTCATTTACTGCAGGAGAAAGAATTTCCAACCAATTAGACCTGTAGGAAACAATTTTCCACCCTCCTAATACAATTATGAAACTGAACAATGATGTTCTCCTTCGCTGAAATCCCATCCTCATTTGTGGCTATTCCACTTGTAAGAAAGGGGATCAAGGAGATTTGTGCTTGATAATGCAAACAAATGAATTTCTTGCCCCAACTACTTCCCATATGAATCTGAACCACAGTTTTATATGAGGATATATAATCTATAATATAACCAGCAACATGAAATACAGAGGTATGGATTAACTGAGAAAGCCTTGCAAAACCTTTTATAGCTTTCAGTTCTGAAGGACTCCCCCCACCCCATACCAAAGTTTCAATGCTTTTTGAATTTCAAACAAATCCTGATCAGGAAACTCAGCCAAAATGTCTGGGTTTTGCCTGGTTTCAGGTTGAAGCTGCACTGAGCGAAGGCTTGAAGCTGCTCATGATTTCAACCCTCCAAACAATAAACTGAAATATAAATTATAAATTGGCTCAGCTTCATTTGAAACTCAGCCCAGCCTTCCATGAAATTCAGCCCAGCTTTGCCAGAAGGCATAATTTGAAAGTGAGTTGGTCTGGGTG